GTCGACTACTCCACTATCTCGAGTACCAAACTCTTGTGTATTCGCTGCCATTCGAGATCAGATCCCAAGCATCTCTAGAAGTTTTTTCAGCTAATCTACCTTGACTCGCAACATCAATGTTGCTTCGATTTGTCCAACTGAGGCCTTCGTAGAAGTATTGAATAAGCAGCTGCTTAGATATCTGATGTTGAGGATACCTTGCGCACAGGCGGTTGAATTGCTCCCATGGTTGTTGCTTGATCCCACGGATTTACTTCCTCAATGTTGCAGCTTGAGATGCCGGGAAATACTTTTTTAAAAATTTTCTCTGCAGGTCAGCCCATGAAGTTATGCTTCCTGGAGGGAGGTAGTACAACCAGTTTTGTACTGCATCCTTTAAGAAAAAAAAAGGAAAGCACACAACTTGATTTGTTCCTCAGTGACTCCTGCTGGTTTCATGCTCGAGCAAAAAATGTCAAATTCACGTAGATGCTTATGGGGCTCATCACCTGCAAGACCATGAAAATATGGTAGTAAGTGAATCAATCCAGATTTCAGTGCAAATATAATAGTATCATTAATGGCAGGAAAGGTAATGCAGAGGGGCTGTCGAGTTAAATTCGGAGCCGCCAACTCCCTGAGTATCCAGTGATCTTCTCTAGCCATGATTCGATCGCAGTCCTCGTCAGAAGTGTAAGGACTAGTTGATTATGTGTTGGAGCTCCTATAAGATTCTAGTTTCTTTGTAGCTTCTTTCCTGAACTTTCTTGCTAACTTTTTGATCTCTGAGTCGTATATCAAATTTCCTAGTTGAGAAGATCAAGGCATAAACCAGAATCAAACATAAAACGAATAAAATAATAATAAATAATAAATAGAGAAAAAAAAAATTAACAATGATCAAACCAGTCCCCGGAAACAGCGCAAAAAATTGACAAGCGTGGATTGTCAGTCAAATAATACTTGTTTCTTAATCAATTGTTGAATAAAGAAAATATGGTCGATCCACAGAGACTGCAATTGTTTTTCTTTATTTTATTGTTTATTTAAAATGGGGGAGGGGGGGGGGGGGGAAGGGAAGATTTCAATCAAGAATTAAAATAAGTATCCTAAGAAAATTCAACTAAACCAATTAAAGTCAATCAATTAAAGAGATAAATAAAAACGAATTTATCAAGAAGTAGAACACTTTAGTCCATGAAAAATTAAATAATGGATTTTATAATTGAATTAAGTAATCTAATCAATCTACTGATAAATTGGTTATAGGTACTCGATACAATCGAACATCCAATTTTTCCTAACTTTGTCGGTGGTAGAGGTACGACCAATTGACCATTCTCTAATCAAAAGAAGTAAACTAGGTACGACCATAGTAGAAATTCTTCAATTGAAAATAGCACAAGTAAAACCCAAGTCGAATATTTAATCAATTACGAAAGATCATTTATTCGATCATGCAATTCCTAAGCTAAGCACGTTAACCTATTTACTAGTTTATTAAATAAATATACAATTACGGATGTAGTTATTCAATTAGCACACAATCAATAGACAGTCTTAAAACTTGGCCACAATAATAAATCGCATATAATGATTGTAAACACGGTACATAGAAATCGCACAAATACAAATTAATTGAAAGATTCAATTAAAACCAAAACTATCTCACAAATCCATAATCCAAGAATTCAATCCAACCTTAGACTAGAATATGAAATTAGAAACTAAACATGACTAGAAATCGAAAACAAATAAATTCTACTTGAAAGAAGACGAAGAAGAGTTGTGCAACAGTCTTGATCGCTCCGGTCATCACGTGCGTTCTTCCTTTCTTGCCAAGATGATTTTTTTTTTTTTAAAACTTTTTTTTCATCTTTGCTTTTGATGATGAACCACCGTGCAGCCCTCATAATAGGGTTTTGAATATAGATTTTTTTTTTTTTTCTCTACCCAAAGTTACTTTTGATGCAAAATTTCAGTTTTATCAAGTCTTGACTTATCCAAACTTTCTCTAGGCAACATGCTTAAATCAAAGCGAGAATCTGATTTTTTTTGCAAATATCTTCAATTTATTTCATTCCTAACACAAAATCAAATTCGACCAAAAATCAGTATGAACTATGCAAAATTATAGTCAATACGCGCAATTAACGTACAAAAAGTAGGACGAATAATTAGTTTATCAAATGTGTTCAACTAGTAAAATATTTATTGTAATGAGTAAGTTTGACTTTTTTATTTAAAAAAAATTCAAAATCTACTCACGAATCAAATTCAACCTCAATTAAATGAATAATTTTTGGAGAACATCAACCACCTTGTATCACTTTGATCTATTTATGTATTTTTTTTTTAGAAGTTTCCTTATATAAATAATTCATATGTCTCTAAATAAAAAACCCATTTTTTTCCATAATAAACAATTATCTGAATGATTTACGAAATATATATATGATATTCGTAACGTTAAAATATGCTGAAGCAACTTTTTTTTTTTTTTTTTATCTAGAAACCTGTCCAAATAGTTATCACACAAATTGTGCGCATTTAAAAACATAATGATATTTAGAATTATTTCTTATATGGTGTTTTCAATACAGTAATGATGTTTTATTGCAATATAAACACAATATATGATGTCTTGAAATGATGTTGGCATGATCATAAACTGATGCAACGATTTCAATACATGAGATGTTCATTATGATTGGGATAAACCATGCTTCCTTTTCTTGTACCTCTCTTTATTGCAATAAAAGTGGATGTATTACACTTGTTGGGATCCATTTTTTTACTTTTTTGCATTATTTTTGCACGACAAATCCTTGACTATTTACGTAATTACAATATGATGTATACGCATCATCACTATTACAATAGAGAATCCGCCCAAAACTGGAGTTGTAATTGTGTAATAAAGTTTCAGAAAAGTGGCATGGCCTCCACAACAGACGTTATATGCTTTTCAAAGTCCTCCTGTAGGAGGGTATAACCGGCTTTGTTGAGAATAAACGTTCATCATTTTTTTTTTGTGCATCGGATATCTTTATATTACCTATACGAAATGTAATTATGTTGTTGTACATATTATAATAAATGAAAATATATTCTACACATACCTAAGGGCGGAAGTTGACCACTACGTGGTGGCCTTTGAGAAATACGGCGGGGATGAGTTTTAGAAGTCTCAAATGTCTATCCGAAAAATATATTTTTGTCAATTATCAACCATCAACATGAAGAACAATCTTAACTTCCAAAAAAACCATTCCGAATTTTATCATTTTTGGTAGACACCGTTGCATAGAAACACGATTTTAACATTATTCAATATACGAATATATAAAATAAATAGCAAGGTTCATAGATGAGTAGTCATAATATATACCAACAAAATCAAAGCATTTTCAAACAAATACAACTTACAATATCAAACAAAAGTATATAAGATTAGTAAATATAAGTATATTACACCAAAAAAAAAATCTTGGCAAATGCCTATCATACTAGCAGAAAATCACAATACTCTCCTCTCCCCCGTCACAAAGCTTTTCTCATATACATATTGTTCTAACGAAAGGTTAGAATGAAACCCATTTAGCAATTATTGTTATCATAATCTCGAATAGGGAAACAATTACTAAAACAATAGTGAAATATTGACTAAAATCGGTTGCGAGCCCTAACAATACCCCTGTATTCAACTAACAAAAACATTCAGAATTGAAAATTTTCCTTACCAGTGTATTCCTCACGCGAAATAAACCTAAATATTAGAATTTAGATTCTAAATCGAAACTTACCCTTACCGTTGTTTTTGCCATCACAGATTCTCCATCGGTCATGCACAAATAAACCCGCAGGCTAGAGAGAAGCACTACTTCGCGCGAAACGAACCTAACAAAGAGAAAAAAATATCAGAAAAAATAGATTTTGAGGGTGGAGAAAGACAATTTTGGGATTGACATAAAAGTAGATTTAATGCTAATATTTTTTATTTTTTTTAATGTGGAGAGTGCAGTGTGTATAAAAGAAGTATAGGGATTTAACTTAAATATCAAAATACCAATAATATAAATAAAATTGTCTGTAATATAAATTATGATTTATTATTTTTAATCTAGATTAAATTTGAATTTAAATTAGAGTATGAACATTTGACTTATTCGTATGATATAATTTTATGTTTTTTTTTTTTTGTTACTATTTTTTTAGAGGTATTGTTTGATTTTTTTTTTTCCTTGCTATTGCAAGTTCACAGCATGAGAGAAACAATAATAAAAATAAAAAATATTATTTTCTTTCTCATCCATACATATGAATATTTTTTTTCCAATTATTTATTTTTAATTTAATATAATTTGTGAGTAATTATATATTTTAACAGATTTAGATTTAAATTAAAACATGAATTTTATGATACTTTATTTGAATCACATTAATTAATATTCTATATTTTTCTGTTGTTTTTATATCTTTAGTTATGAATTTTAATTGCCATATAAATTTTAAGAAATTTGATTTATGATTTGCATTACTTTTTATATTTGATTTATTTTGGTTATTGTATATTTTTATATTGTTTATATATTTATATAAACATTTAAATTATGATATACATATAAAATATTAGAATATAATTTTACATAAAGTTGACTGCATAGCATGGATCTACTAGTATTTATATTATTTGGTAGCTCTATTAAATACTATTGAAATTTTTAAAAGTAACGAATTCAATAACCATATATGTATATGTATGGTAATAAAATTAATAATAAATTTAATAAATATACATTGATATTATTTGGTAATTGTATCATATACGTTGTAATATTTTTCAAATATTTTCCTCCATAAGCCCTTGCATCTTTGTTCTCAATTCTCCTTCTCCAGATCATAAAATTTTCCTGTTTCTTGGCTTAAAATTATATATAGGCTCTTAGAAACTTCGATCCTGAGCTTGAAAGCTAACATCCACCAGACATTGTTGTTCGATCGAAAGTGGTAAGAAATAGATGGAGGTTTTGGCAATGTTGTCGATACTTATTATTTCTTGTGGAGTAATCATCATCGTATCTTTGTGTGCTGCTGCTTGGAATTTCTTGAACTGGGTGTGGTTTAGGCCGAAGAGGATCGAGAAGTGCCTGAGGCAGCAAGGCCTCCATGGAAATCCTTACAGGTTCTTCTTCGGAGACTTTAAGGAAATTATGAGGTTGCAGAAAGATGCCAGGTCGAAGCCCATGAGTTTTTCCCATGATATTGTGCCTAGAGTTGCTCCCGAAATCGATCAATCTCTCAAAACATACGGTAATTGTGATTTACAGTCAGTTAATTCTTTTCTTATGTTATATATATAACAATTGAGAATAGCAAAAAATTAAATTGAAATAGTGTTTAAGTTTGATATAAATTAAATGAGTGATAGAGCTACCGAAAAATTGATTTTCTTGGTCATGTTCAGGGAGAAAAAGGAAAGAATTGTGTTTCCAAAACTTATAGTTCAATCAGATTCCTGACTAAGCTTTTCATTTAGCAATGCCTTCGTCAAATTGGATCACATGCTGAAATTTTCAATTCAGCAAAGCTGAATTATATCTTAACCCTTAATTTTAATCTTTAATTTTAATTTAAATATCATTAATCTAAAATGAAAGATTGTGATCTATTTCAGCATATGCTGATGTCTTTTACAAATCAAGATATGATCCTATGCCAAATTCTAGTTTGATATTGTTACAGTGAGAGTACACTTGATACTTCTTGTTGAGGACTCCCGTTTGCGGGATATGTAACTTAATGGCTTAGTTTCCCTAACAAGTTCGAGCTTTTAGGTGAGACGGTCATTAGCTTACGACATGGTATCAGAGCCTAGGTTAGGTCTCGAGTTCGAGTCCCGCCCGTCCCCATTTGTGGCATATGCATGTGCAAGTTTCGTGGACCCACTTGCACCTGAGGGGGCGTGTTGAGGACTCCCGTTTGCGGGATATGTAACTTAATGGCTTAATTTCCCTAACAAGTTCGAGCTTTTAGGTGAGACGGTCATTAGTTTCCGACACTTCTTAACTTGTGTTATAGTTTGATACAATATCATTATCTCTTAATTTGGTCTTGAATAAATCATGAAATAAACAATAAGTGTAACCAAATTCCCTATCCTAAAGGTAAGAACAACTTTCTATGGTACGGGCCAAGACCTGCAGTGATTGTCCAGGAACCTGAATGTATCCGAGAAATTTTTTCGAAGCTCAGCATTTTCCATAAGCTCCCAGTTCCAAAAGTTCGAGATTTGTCGAGAGGATTACATATCATGGAATCCGAGAAATGGGCGAAACATAGGAAGCTGGTCGCACCCGCCTTTCACATCGAGAAACTTAAGGTAATTAATGTTCGGGTACATACTACATAAACACTACAAAAAAAAAATAGTATATTTGTAACGGAATTTCGTTCCTAAAGTTCACGTAGCTAACCTAATTCCATCATTAATTTCGTCTCTAATATCATTGGTAATGGAAAAAAGTAAATTTAGAGACGAAAAAATCTCTTTTCAAAAATGATATTTTCTTGTAGTGTGATGACAAAATGAAAATATTGTTTCTTGTGTTTGCAGCACATGATTCCATCCTTTTACTTGAGTTGCGCCGACATGTTGAAAAAATGGGATGACATTATCCCAAATGAAGGGGCGTGCGAATTGGATGTGTGTGGTTATCTTCTAACTCTTGCGAGCGATGCAATTTCGCGCACTGCCTTTGGTAGTAGCTACGAAGAAGGAAGAAAAATATTCGAACTTCAATTGGAACAAGCCCGACATATCATGGAAACACGTCACTCAGTTTACATCCCCGGATGGAGGTGAGATAATTCATTGTGTTTGTTGATTTATATGGATTGCAATGACAACTAATTTTCATTCTTTTGTAGGTTTTTACCGACAAAACAAAATAGAAGAATGAACGAAATAAACAAGGAAGTAGAGTCGACCGTGATTAGCATCATTAACAAAAGGATAAAATCTATGGAAGCCGGGGAGGGTAGTGGAAATGACTTACTTGGTTTGCTACTAGAATCGAACAAGAAGGAAATCGAACAAGGGGGAAGTAAGTTTGGAATGAGCATGCGAGAAGTGGTTGAAGAGTGCAAACTTTTTTACTTCGCCGGGCAAGATACAACCGCGAATTTGCTCGTTTGGACTATGATTCTATTGGGGAAGTACACGGATTGGCAGTCTCAAGCAAGAGATGAGGTTCTACAGATCTTTGGAAAAAGAAAACCCGAGTATCGAGAGTTAAACCGCCTCAAAATTGTAAGTGTTTCTGACATTTTTTTTTTCGCCAATCTTATAAAGCTTAATATATATCGTTTGTACAACATTAATCATATATCTTATTTCTATCTAGTGACAATAGACATATTTTGTTATTTATGTATGGATCTCACAATATTAGTAAATTATCTTATTTTTTGTAACATATATAATACAAATTTCTTGTTAGGGTTAGCTAGGACGATAATTTTGTCTTTATAACATACTTACACTTACACATAACTTTCAACATTTTATGACATTTTATTGTTGTTTAACAACAATCATGTGATGTTTCGAACCAATTTCTTGTTATTTTACTATTCGCTGATGGTCGGAACGATTATCCTTTTTATCTTTTTCTTTTCCCCGCAGATTAACATGATACTTCAAGAGACTATGAGGTTATATCCACCGGGAATCATACTTCATCGAATAACTACAAAAGATATCAAAATAGGGAACTTAACTCTACCGGCTGGGGTGCAACTTATATTGCCAATCATTTTATTGCATACTGACGAGAAGATATGGGGCGATGACGCAAAGGAATTTAACCCGATGAGATTTAGCAATGGAGTTTCCAACGCTACACAAGGCCAAATGACATATCTACCATTTGGAGTTGGGCCTCGGATTTGCTTGGGACAAAACTTTGCCATGGCAGAAGCCAAAATAGCGATAGCGATGATTTTACAACGTTACAATTTCAAGTTTTCTCCGTCATATTCGCATGCTCCTTGCACGGTGTTTGCTCTTAAGCCTCAACATGGTGCACACTTGATGCTCGAGAAGCTAAAGGATTGATTACATATATAATACTACTATTTTTGTTTTTAATATTGAGAAATAAAGTACTGAAAACACTGAAATTTGTGTCTTTTTTGGATTAAACTTTGTTCTTTTGTGTTATGAATTTGTTTTATATCTTTTGCATCACATCAGAATGGGAATCGACCAGATCAGACTTTAGCTAAATAAACCAAACTAGTTTAAATAATTACTCTTTGAACCTGACCTATTAACTTGAAAAAAAATAAAATTTGAAGTCGAGCTAATCTATAAGTCTATTTAAAAGTATATGTAATAATTTTTATTTTTTATTTTTGCATTTTCAAATTTAATGTTAGTAACAGAAAGGAGATACAATCATTTTTTTTTTTATATCTATTATCTACTATATATATATATTTATCCTAGAATTTGTTTCGTGACAAAACTTGGGTTTTTTTCATTTTTTTTAATGTGGGGCCCACATAAATAATAATATATCAAGATTTTTTTATTATTATTAAAATTTACATTTTGTGATAAAATCTATTAATTTTGAATATCTAAAACACTAAAGATTGATCGCATGAAATATTTTAATTTATTCAAATAATTTTCATACTAGAAAATTATATATTTAATAACATTAATTAATTTAAAAATTTAATAAAATTTATAATCACGTCATACGTCATACTATGCAGAGCAGCCTACTGGTGTGTATATATATATATATATATATATTATAACAACTGTTAAAATTGATCACTTTTTATGTTTTGTGGTTGCCTCTAAATTTAATATTTTAATAAATTATAAATACTTAAAACATCTAAAATTCTTTCATATTAAATGAATACATGTATACACACATTATAAGCCAGTCCCGGTATGATTCAGCATCATGCTGAACAAATTCTAATTGTTCGATTTTAAAATTGATCAACGGTTTAGATTAATTTAATAGGTAAAATTGTCAATTTTTAACGATGTTAATTATGGTATTGATTTCATCATTTATGAATTTGATTTAAGCATTGAAAATATGAAAAATATATACTCTGTCCCAAAACAATAGTCTGATATTGTTATTTTCGTCCGTCCCAAAATAATAATTCAATTTCCATTTCCGATAACTACCTCCCAACCTTTTTCAAAACTATCTCCACTTTTTTAACATAAAATAGGGGTATTTTAAGCTTTTAGAAATAATTTTACACCTACTATCAATACAATACTATTATTCCTTAATTCTCTATCCATCCCAAATGTCCATTTTGTTTTAGTACGATGTTGGGACGGATGAAGTACTTATATAAATCATTTTTTATTTGGCATGAGAAATCATTTCATATGAAAAATAATTAATTTTTCTTTCAATATCACTCATTTGAAGTATAAAATCGTCCAAAAATAAAATAAAATTGTGCAACGATATGGATAAATTTACTTGTGTAGACTACTATTATTGGACAACTAATTTTTGTTTTCGAACTCAGATGATGCATACAGATCTACATTCATAAACTATAGTGACTGAACGACTGCAACTTTTTAAACCGCCGATGATGAATACGAACTTACACTCATAGAAAGCTAATTATCAAAAAAAAAAAAAAAAGAAAAGTTCTAAACATCATCTTTGCGTAGAACAATTAGTATATTCATCTAAAGTGTAAAATATATTTTTTTGGCTATTACATCAACAAAACTATTATATTTTGTAAAAAAAAAAAAAAATCAGACATCATTTGCGTATGACAATTAACATATCCATTATTTACATATAACATATATTGTTGACCGGTATAACAGTAGAACTATTACTTTTTTTAAAAAAAAAATACTTCTTCCATCCCAAAATAATTGTTTTGTTTTTCAATTTTCGTCAGTCCTAAAATAATTATGTTGTTTCCTTATTTAGTAACAGTGGTTCTCACTCCCTTAATTATTACTCTAACCTACTTTTTAAAATCCTTAAAAAACAAGGGCATTTTAGTCTTTTATATTTTACTTTATATTTACTTTCAATGTCAATTGGGCAAATATGACCATAGTGACTAAATGCTATTATTCATTAATATCTGTGTCAACTCCCAACAAAACGTCTCTTTTGGGACGGAGGGAGTATGTTACAGTAATCGTTTCCACACAATTAGCATATCTATCTAAAGTACGCAACATATATTGCCGAGCAGAATAATAATAAATTTATCATATTTTTGAAATTGAAATGTCTCAAATATTTTTTAACCACGATCGAATAAAAAAACAACCATCTACATTTAAAGACATTAACCACACCATGCATCTATACTTTAGAAATAACAATTCAAAAGTTATATCTATCAACAAGCCTTTCCTCTACCCCTATCGACCTCGCATGACACCTCCTTTGGTTGTTTAGGATTGGTTCCACACCCATCGCCATGAATTTTACATATAAAAGGCCTTTAAAACATGTTCATATAACAACGTACCACAAATAAATACTATTGGGGCAAAAAGTTTCTTATGGTTGATCTCAACAACCCTCCTCCGCACGCATGAGAATTGGATGTAATTTCTTTTCATAGCATTGGGCTTATTCGACACCTCATCATCTACTATCTTCTTCACCATTGATATTTGTAGAGATTAGAAACAGTGCCAAAAACGGAAGAAATGCAAGGCAAATCGAATCAAAAATAAAATTACTCACAGAGGCGTGACGAAAGGTTTTTGGGTGAGAGACGGTCGAGAGAATTTGACGGGGTGTGAGGCGGTGGGAAATAAAGAAGAATTGAATTAAGTTCATTCTTGTTTAACTTTTTATGTTTTAATTTTGTTTTATTTTTAAATTGTTGCAGGTACCAGTAACTTTGTAAATTAATTGTATTATATTGAGAGAATATAAAAAACATACTATAGAATATTATAACAAATTACGGTACGAAAAATTATTTTAGGTGTGTTATAGATATCGATTTTTTAAAATAATGGTGATTTATTTTTCTATAAAATCAATCTTTAAAATTGAGGCTAAATTTTTGCAATCAATCTTAATATTCTAAGAAATTATTAACGGAAAATAACTCCAAAATTTTTATAATCATCTTTTCGTACTACGTACATCTTTTTTTATATTCCTCGTATTATATCATTCATGTATAATTTTCGATAATATATCATATTCTTGCTTTGTCGGGAGCATATATTCGTGTTGTAAATATCATATTACTTTAGTTGTAAATATTTCAACTAAAATTTGTATCAGAAGTCTATAATTTAGGATGATTCTTATTCCAAATATAACGTCATAATTAATATTATTGATTTCTTCAATTAAAAATTTATAATAATAATTTTAATACAATACATATGAATAATTACACAGTATTTGGTTACATTAGCATAGATAGTCGTTGTATGGTGATCTAAAGACCAGCTTTCTCTGAGTGCATTTGTTAAATATTTATAAATTTGTATCCCTACAAAAGCTCAATACAATTAGGAGATAACGGATCCAGCCCAAGAAACATGATCCGGCCCAGCTTCATGAGGCCCACACAGAACCCAAAACTATTTAAATAAGAAAAATTATTATTCAAAACTTAACACATAAACTCTGAGCCCAAACCAAATACACCAAGTTGATTTACCAATTTTTTCACTAAAAATATCAAATCAAACTTTTATCTTTTAATATTATATTAAAAATAAATTTTATATTCTGAGTATAACATTAATTTTAATTTATTTGATTAGTTATTCAAATTAAAAATTCTTATTATTAAAAAACCAAAACATAAAATTCAAACTTCCAACCAAACATACCATATTTATTTTTATATTGTTAGATATAGAAATCATCTTACTAGATATAGATACTTTTTTTTATATTATTTGATTTTATCTATCTTCGTTTATACTGGAGTCCACTAGTATATATACTCTTGTATTTTCTTATTTTTAGCAATAATATAATTTTATAAGTTTCCCTCAAATTCTAACATGGTATCAGAGTTCAATTTTAATAATCCAAAACCCACCGCCGACACCGTTAGAACCGCTGCCTCGCCACGACCAGCCCTCCAAATATCTTCGCCAGCCAATGCACGTGCTGCCCTTACACGCCGCCGACGTGAATCACGGCGGAAGAAGGTTTTCTACCGCCGCCCTTTTGGCTGCGCGTGCGGCCGCGTGCGGCCGCCTCCGCCTACCATTTTTCGGCCGCCATCTCCTGTTTTAGTTTTCTACGTCGTGGTTTGGTTGGGTTTGTCATCCGAGTTGATTTTATTTTGCCAGTTTTACCGGGTTGGATTATTCGATTTGATTTCATGATTTGTATCGGTGCGTGATTGGTTTTGTCATCGAAGTTGATTTTATTTCCGTGTTGTTACTGGCATGACTTCTTTAGTCTAGAATCTTGTGACTCTCTTGCATCAAGTTCTTGTTTCCAATTCCTCTACTGCTATGAACAATTGGTGATATTTTGATTCTGGTTGTTGCAATCATATGACAGCTACACATGTTCTCTTGACCGGTGCGCATCTTGTGTCATCTTCCCTGCCTATCCAGAGAGCTAATGGGAGTCGCATGGATATCACTTATTCAGGATCTGTATCTCTACCATTTGCATCTCTTTATGATATTTATTGCATTCCTCAGTTGACTTAAAATCTTATATCAGTTGGCCAATTAGTTGACTAAAGACTTACTGTTACTTTTTCCTCTTCTGGTGTGTCGGTTCAAGATCCACCCAAGGGTCAAATTATTGGGACAAGTCGAAAGGTGAGTCGACTATTTGAGATACATTCTCTGAAAATTCCTCATCGTAATTTTTTTGTTGCTTCTGCTCATACCCCTTCTATTACCTTTTATTTTCCTAGTCTCTAGTGCACCTTCGTCTTGGTCATGCATCCTCCTTTAAATTCAGTCTCTCATTAATAAGGGTCATTTGGATTCTACTCGTTTTGAGTCATTTGATTGCTTACACCGTCACTTGAGAAAACAACAAGCCTTATCCTTTTCAAAAAACTATATCGGTCGCAAGTAGACCATTTTTTTGGTTCACTATGATATCTGGGGTCCTTCCCATGTTCCCTCTGTGAGTGTGTTTCGTTATTATGTCATATTCATAGATGATTAATCCCATTTTACATTGATATATTTTTTGAAACACCGCTCAAAATTACCTCAAATATACATCATTTGCATAAATGATTAGAACTCAGTTTTCCTGTCTTATACAGACTCTCCATACTGATAATGGTCCTGAGTATAGACATTTTATCTTATTAAGTTTTCTCTATGCTCAAGATACATTAATTCAACGTTCTTGTCCATACACCTTTCAACAAAATGATCGCGCTAAGCGCAAACATCATGATATTCTAGATATTGTTTGTGCGTCCTTTTTATCTACCTCTTGTCCTGATAGGTTCTGGGGAGAAGCTGCCCTTACTGTTGTTTATATTATAAATTGTATTACATATTTTTTGCTCTATAATAGTACTTCTTTCGAGTGTCTATATGGTCATCCACCCGATTATATTACCATTCGTCCCTTCGGTTGTGTTCATTTTTTCCTTATTCCTCCTCATGAACGTTCCAAATTAAAACCTCGTACGCGTCTATGTTGTCTTATTGGTTATGGGGTAGAGCATAAAGGTTATAGACTTTTGGATCCGATCTCTAAACGGTTGCGTATATTTTTTCATGTTATCTTTGGGGAGAATATCATGTTTTCCACCCTGTCTAAATTTAATGTCTTATATATTTCTCATTCACCTTCATTCTTTTCGGTATGTCCTCCCTTGTTTCCTGATCTTGATCCTACGACCCCATCTCCGTCTCTTGATCCTGCTCCAATTGAGGCTTCTGATCCACATCCAGTTGAGGCTTCTGATACACCTCCGACTTCATCTCTAGATATTGATCCGACTGCGGTGCATGGACCTGTCACACCTCGTCGGTCACATCGAGTAAGTCAACCCCTACTCATTCGCATGATTATCATTGTTACTTATCTAATTATTTCACCACAAGCTTCGGTCATTTTGTGAGGCGAGTGCTGATCCATTGTGGCAGCAAGTTATGACTGAGGAATTGTAGACTCTATACAAGACTCACCCTTGAGATTTAGTGGATTTGCCTTCTGGAAAGACACCTATTGGGTGCAAGTGGGTTTTAAAATCATGACTAATTTTGATGATTCCGTGGAGAACTAAAGGCTCGTATGGTGACTAAGGGTTAATTTCAGAAATATGAAGTTGACTATGAGGAGACTTTTGTCCTTGTTGCTCATCTTACTACTGTTCATTGTCTCCTTGTTGCCGCTGTTCGTCGTTTGTTTCTTCTTTAGTTAGATGTCAATAATGCGTTCTTGTATGACACTTTTTCTGAAAAAGTTTTATGACTCATCCTCCAAGTTTTCCATGTTCTATGAAGGTTTTTCGTTTACGCCGCGCTTTATATGGATTGAAGAAGGCCCCTTGGGCTGGTATGCCACATTTAGCTCTGCACTTTTGGAATTTGATTTTCCCACAGGCGCTTACAAATTTGATTTTTTTCTTCATTGGTCTTCCTTAGGAATAATTATCTTTTTGCTTTATGTTGATGACATGATCATCATTGGTGATGATACATTTGGTATTTCTGATCTATAAACATGTCTTAGTCAGTAGTTTGAGATGAAGAGTTTGGTTCCTCTTCATTACTTTTTGGGACTTAAGGTCTCTGATTCTCCAGATAATTTTTATCTATCTCAGGCTAAATATGCCTCTAATCTTATTTCTCGAGCTGGCCTCACAGACTGTCAAATAGCCCCCACACCACTTATCTATGATGTTCAATTTACCTCTCATGGTGACTCTCTTCTTGATAATCCTACACTATATCGTCAGCTTGTTGTAAGTTTGATCTATTTGACTGTTACTCAACCTGATATCGCTCATGCAGTTCACATTGTAAGTCAGTTCTTGGCCGTTCCGAAGACCTCTCACCACTCTGTTGTTTAACATATTTTTCGCTATGTAAAAGGTACTCTTCTGCATAGTTTACACTTTTTATTTCACTCACCTTTGACACTCAACAATTATTTTGATGTTGATTGGGCTAGCGATCCTACCGATCGTCATTCGACCACTGATTTCTGCTTCTTCCTAGGAAATAGACTTTAGTTTCATGATCAAGTGCTACTGAAGTTGGTCTCTACTATCTCATCATTTTGAGTTACGAGGGTTGCTAGATATAGATATCCTTTTATTAGATATGATATCTTTTAAATATTATTTGATATTATCTATTATAGTTTATACTCGAGTCTACTGGTATATATATTCTTGTATTTTTTTATTTTTGGCAATAATACAATTCATAATTTTCCTCAAAATTCTAAAATATATTATATTAAAATTTTATTTTATTTTAAAAATAGTATATCAATAATTAGTTATATCATATCAAACAACTAATCAATGTCTAAATTTTAAATCCAAACTCCAACCAAACATGTTATACTTTATTATGGAAGTTATTGTTTAAATATTTAAATTTAAATTATTTTCTCTTTAATAATAAAAAAAGGCTTGGCCCCGTTTAAGCCTGATTTTTGGTAGGTGACAGCATATTTTATTCTAATTATTCATCTTATTAGTTTATTATAGAATAAATAAAACAGCATATTTAATAAAACGAGATGACCAAAGCGTAGTTAACAAGCTGACTTTATTATTACCCCCTTCGTCAACGTATACCTTTTACTATAGTAAATTTAGAAGAAATATAAATAATTATTAATTAATAAAAATAATTTTAAATTAAAATAAAAATAATTATTTAATATAATTAAAATTAAAAAAATTAAATTAAATTAAAAATTATTAAATAAAACTAAAGTGTATAATTTTATTATTTTTAAAACAAATAACAGAAACAAACGAAAATAGAAAGGTAAACAATAGACACATTAAGTAAGACGAAATGAGTATTATTTAATAAACCAACAAATATTTTTATTAGTTTATAAAACATACCCAAGAGTGATGAGTACTCGATTGAGGGAGGGTTAAACCACAAACCATCGACTAGAAGTTGGTGGAATTAGTGGTAAGAAATCGATGGAGATTTTTGGGATTCATCTGGTTTTGATACTTTTAATAATTTGTTGTCCAGTAGTTTGGAATTTGTTGAAGTGGGTGTGGTTTAGGCCTAAGAGGGTCGAGAAGTGGCTGAGGCAGCAGGGCCTCCATGGAAATCCTTACAGGATCTTCTTCGGAGACTTTAAGGAAATTACGAGGTTGCAGAAAGATGCGAGATCCAAACCCATGAGTTTTTCCCATGATATTGTGCCCAGAGTTGTTCCTGAACTCGATCTAGCTCTCAGAAACTACGGTAATTCTGATTTAGATTTATTATTATTATTATTGTTGTTGTTGTTGTTAGGGTTTAATTTGAGATAAATGATCGAATGATTGGTTTTAACAGTTTGGTTTAATTAAGATTTGAATTTCATTCATAACATGTTAATTAATCCTCTCTTCAGTCTCCCATTATTTGCCAATAATTTTTATCTTAATTTCCCATTTGAAATAGAACAATGTGTTTCAAATAATTGATTCTAGGGTTGGTAGTATTATTTAGATTTTGAATTATATTATGATTTATTTTACATCATTACTCTATTTTTGCAGTATTAGTAAAAATGCATTTATTTTTATTTCAACTATAAATTTTAATTTTTTTTTCTAAAAAAAAAGTATATTTCCTAGCTATATATTCTCTTTTTATATTATTTTATAGTATAATTTTTTATATTTATAAATTACACCAAATTTTTTACATTATCATCCAAATTATATAATTTATATTTTATTTTAAAATTATATATTATCGCCCAAAGTAAAATTACACATTACTTTAAGAAAAAATTAAATTACATATAATTTTCCAAAAGATAAAATTTTATATTACTTTTTAAAAGATAGAATTATACATTATTTTTCAAAAAATAAAATTATACTCCATCCGTCCCATAACTATGTATTCATTTGCTTTTTGCACGGAATTTTATAAATATTAGTATTATATTGGAATATAGTAGGAATAAAGTAAAAATGACTAAAATGGCCTTATTAGTATTGTGTGATATAAAGTAATGGTATTTGTGTAATATATTGGAAGTTGTAAGGGTATTTGTAATATTAGGTAGACAGTACATTTACTAAAAAAGAAAATAAATACTTTGTTATAAGACAGTACATGGGTTAAGGCTCTCCCGAACCCATCTCTTACTCAACAACTCTTCAACTTGCTTCATAATCTCTTTGACCTCCTCCGGATTAGCATGATAAGTTGGACGTTTGGAATTAAAGCTCCGAGAATGTAATTAATTTTGATGCTCAATGCCTCGAATTAGAGGTAAACCATCAGGAACATCTTCGAGGAACACATCTTGGTATTCTTCAAGGAAGGTAGCAAAGTTTGGGGGACGCTTGCTCATATCCTGCATAGATAGATAGTTTTGTTTGCATATTAGAAGAAAGAAATTAGTCTCACTGTCGCTCAAATACTCAACTTCTCTCAAGCTCAAGAACAGTTTTGGGGGTGTATGTTTTTTTTATTTTTGCTCTTTTTCTTTCATCTCGGAATCGTAGGTTTTTATTCTTCACTCAGATTTTGAGCACTCAAAGTATTTTTACTCTTTTCAATAACTCTCTTTTTACTTTTCTCTCGCGCTTTTCTCTCTTTCGCTTCCTCAACAATTTTTGGTACAAGTACTTTTGGTCGGGATTCACTTCATTAGGACACAATGGTTTGAGTGTAGTCTTCTTGCCATCATGAACAAATGTATACCGCTTTAGGTGCCCATTATACATTGCCATTTTGTCAAATTGTCATGGCCTCCCAAGCAAAATATGACATCGCTTGCATAGGAACCACATCATACAATACTTGGTCCTTGTAGTCCTTGATGTTGAAATCAACACGTACTTGTTTCGTAATCTTGACCTCACCACAATTATTAAGCCATTGAAGCTTATATGGCTTTGGGTGGGCTTCAGTTTTCAACCCTAATTTTTGAACCACAAGATCACTTATCACATTGGCACAACTTCCTCTATCTATGATCATACTACAAACCTTGTTGGCTATCTTGCATCTACAATGGAAAATGTTGTCTTGCTGTTCATCGTTGTTTATCTCCTTAGGAAACGCACTAAATTCCCTTAATGTGACCAAGTTAAACCAGTTTTATGTCATAGTACAAGAGGTGTCTTATCTTCATCCTTCTTTGGATAGGTGGATGGGCTGGGGTTCTTGTGGACAGAGCTCCCCATTTTATTTTTCCTCCATAGCTGGTCGCTCCACCTTAATGGCCAAATGTACCATGTCTTTCAAGTCAAGACAAGGATACCTATCAATTTCATTGAAAATTTCCCTGTGTAATCCATTGAGAAATCTGCTCATGGTGCTATCCGGATCTTCTTACACATCCATCTGCATTAAGAGCATTTTCATCTCTTTGTGATATTCTTCAATAGTCCCGGGATTCTTGCGTAACGCTTTGAAGCTTACGCAATAGATCTCGATGATAATATGATGGAAAAAATTGTTTGCATCAACCTCTTCAATTCAGTCCATGTGCGTGCGACTGGCTCTCCACTTCATCTTCTAAATTGTCTCAGTTGGTCCTACCATGTTAATGCACAATTTGAAAACTCCATTACCGCAAGCCGTAGTTTACGCATCTCGGACAAAGGTTGAACATCAAAGACAAGTTCAATCTTTCGCTCCCATTCCAGAAATGCCCACGGATCAGATTTCTCATGGAATGGAGGAATTTGGAATTTGATAGATCGCAAGGTATCATCCTCTTGTCTCCGCTACTCCCGACAATTTCAATTTCTAGAATGGCCATCCTCATACTCTTCTTCATCCTCACGTTTATCCTCATGAGGTGGTAAATGCCTACCGTTTCTCCGTGGTGGGTGATTGTTCTTTGCCGGTAGTACTTCAGGGTCATGTTCTCCTGCATGAGTAGGAGTGCCTCCTTGAGTTTGGCTAAGTTCAATCTGGTCTAACCGATTGCTGATCGTCTCGAGAGATGCATGGTGCAAATTGCGCATCTCTCTTAGCAAGGTGTCCATCAGAAACTTAGAGTCGAACCCGTAAGAGTTGTTGTTTTCACCTACCTTAAAAGAATATAGTAACTATATATATAACTTGTTAGAAAAAATTCTTCGCGATCCTCATATATCACTTCACTCGTAACAAACCTCTCCGTCTTACACTTTAGCCAAATCAAAGTCGTTGATATTAATCCATAGTGACACAACCGGATTTTTCATAAGGAGTAGAGATGTATTCAAACAAGATCGAAGACAAGTGAAAGAGAATTCTTCAAATAGAAAAGTAGGGAATGAAAAGAAAGGTAAACTCGTTTTTACCTGGATGACTTAGTACCGTCTTCTAATTGGTACCGAATTTTGAAATTCAATAATTTTTTTTCACGTTTTTTTTACTGACTTTTTTTTCTTTTTATGCAAACAAATAAAGATTCAAGTTAAAGAAAAAAACTTGAATAATGTAGCTCTCATACCATATGACGTAGAACCGAGGGGGTGGTTCACGTTTTTATGCCTAGTCGAAATGGATATTCGATTAAAAGGAAAATAAAGATATGTTTTGGGATTTTGAATTTTTGAGAAGGAAAATGATTGTAAATATACGGACTTATAGAAAAACAACAAACACTTACTCGAAGACTAGATGGGGAATCACAGTATCGAAGTATCTTGTTTTCTTAGGACCTAAGTAACTTGTCTTAGAACTTTTAAGTCAAAACAGAGAGAACTCGAATAAATATGCTAAATCCCTGCAAATGTTGGAAGCAACGAACCTGTAGACTTAACTAAAGATCCAATTTGATGGATAAACCAAAGTGTAAGGAATCACTATCAAACACTTAGTTTAAAAAAAGAACTAATGTTCAAATATATTAAAATATAGATGATCCCAAATTACATCTAATTTTCCTATTTTATAGACAATGGAAAATAAATGCAAAAATTGAAAACTATTATATTCAATTTAGGAAATAAATACAAACAAATTAATGCAATCAACCTATGAAACATGCTACATTCAGTGCATTCACATCTTGGAACTCCATTCTTATTGATGTCATATTGAAAATCCACTCTTATTGATGTCTTCTTGAAAATCCACTGTTATTTATGTCATCTTGGAAATCCACCATCATTTATGTTTTTTTCTGAAAATTAAACAATATTTAGTTCTTTTTGAAATTTCCACTAATCACATAGAAAATTCAAGTAGCATTAAATAAATTGTTGATTGGACTCCTCTAGTGGGGCCAGCCAAAATGCACCTTCTAGAAGTTCACCTTGATCTCGACTTGCTGGATTAAAATCAGCAAGGGAGAAAGAGGTCTTTATGCCGTGTTGTGAATTTATTTTCTTCGTCCGATTGAGTTGCCAAGGCCGAAACTTGATCTTGAAATTTTCATGCTTTGCTCCGAGTTATTGATCCTAGGAGTATTTGATGTGTTTGCATTGTCTTGCTTGAAATGGCCTCGTCATAAGTAAAATGAATGTATTATGGAAAATTTAGGGATACCAATGAGTCGGGTCGAGACAGACCCGAGACACGATCCATATATATATGGTTAGACCCGAAATCCGAATCGATTCCAACTATACCCGAACCCATGACTAGAACCAATCCGATCCGAGGTATACCCGATAAGATCTTATAAGCCCGAAATACCTTTACAATTCTTCAAAATTTAACTCAATATTGGACATGAATATGAACCCCGCATATGTCATAGTTTACATATTTTATTGAAAAATATTATAATAAAATCATAAAAATTAAATAGATCAAACTAAAAAAATAATTTTAATATAACTATATTGTTAAATATTAGTATATTTAAATATATATATATATAATTAAAACTCCCTCCATCCCATAACAGTTAATATATTTTTCATTTTAGTATGCATAGTAAAAGTTGATACGTTTTTATATTTAGTATATTTATAAAACATTAAATATACTTAGCAAATATAAATCAATAATTAAATTTCTAACATCTTATAGGTAGAAATCATTCAAAAGCCATTTACTTTTATCTCTCTCTTTGATCAACTTAATTATTTTTTAACATTTTACACGTAGGACTACTCAAAATCATGTTATTTCTATATTTTTTCTCAATAAATAAATCTTTTTATTTACATTTAAAATTCTTCATTTTTTTATAAAATTAATTTATATTAATCATAGATTTATAGAAGTATTTTTATTTAATTGTATTATATAAAATTTTGTTTTTAAAAAAAGATACACATATTGTATATATTTTATTGTGACAATATTGTTTAAAAAATATAAATTCTAATTTTTTTAATAATATATATTCATTTAGTTTAAAACTACCAACATCATAACACATATAAAATAATAAAATAATAACATAACATAATATTATTAACTTATTAACTTGCATTTCTCTAAATATCGTGTCACTAATCAAACATACTACCTGTATTGGGACGGAGGTAATATATTATTAATATATTTATCGGGTCCAATTTGGATCCAATTCTGGGTCAGATCCACCTTGAAACCCTGGACCCGACTGAGACCCGATTAGTGTATATCTATATATATATATATGATACTCAACCGGCCATACCTTATTTGATACCAAAATAATTAGACCCGACCCCAAGTAAATGGATCGGATCCAAGTCGGGACTCGGGTCTCTTCGGACCAACTGCAATCTTTAAGAAAAATTATTAAAGTTTGACTAATAAAACTATTTATGGATCAAAGTTATATATTATACATAAATTTAGCATAAAACAAAAGAATAAATAGTAACATGTAAGTTTGGCAGTGAAAATTTTATAATATATGTAACATATGTCTTGTGCCAGGGAAGCATAGCTACCTATGGTTTGGGCCGAGACCCGCAGTGATTGTCACGGAACCTGAATATGTCCGAGACATATTTTCGAAGCTCGATGTTTTCCAAAAGCCGCGCATTCCAGCTTTTCGACGTTTGTCAAGAGGGGTAGATTCAATGGAGACGCACAAATGGGCCAAGCATCGAAAGCTCATCAATCCAGCCTTCCATGCCGAAAAGCTGAGGGTACAATTCTTGTACATGCTACGACTTCAATGGAATTGACTTCTTTGCATACAATCGATGATAAGATATATAAAGGTACAATGTCGACTTATGCATATGCTATTATTGCATGTTTCTTGTGTTTGTAGCTCATGGTTCCATCCTTTTACTTGAGTTGCGCCGACATGTTGAAAAAATGGGATGAGATTATCCCGAATGAAGGGCCGTGCGAGTTGGATGTGTGGAGTTATCTTCAAACTCTCACGAGCGACGTGATTTCGCGCACTGCCTTTGGTAGTAGTTTTGAAGAAGGAAGAAAAATATTTGAACTCCAAAGGGAACAAGCCCAGCGAATCATGGACAAACAACGCTCGGTTTACATCCCGGGGTGGAGGTGACATTAGTTTATTGTGTTCATTGGTTTGTAAGGATCGAACTACAAAGTAATAGCTTCGTTTCCATTATTTTATAGGTTTTTACCGACGAAACACAATAGAAGAATCAAGGAAATCGTAAAGGAAATAGAGTCAACCTTGATGAGCATCATCGAGAGAAGAATGAAATTAATGAAAGTCGGGGAGGGTAGTGGTGACGACTTACTTGGTTTGCTATTGGAGTCTAATATAAAGGAAATCGAAGAACGAGGAAGTAGGTTTGGAATGAGCATGGAGGAGGTGATCGAAGAGTGCAAGCTTTTTTACTTCGCCGGGCAAGAGACTACCTCGACTCTACTCGTTTGGACTATGATTCTTTTGGGGAAGTATACGGATTGGCAATCTCGAGCAAGAGACGAGGTTCTACAAGTCTTTGAAAAACGAAAACCCGAGTATCAAGAGCTAAACCACCTCAAAGTTGTAAGTGTTACCGACTTCTTTGCTTTTGTCAATCTTATAAATTTTAATATCATTCATAGAACATTGAAAGAAAAGTGTCAATCGAAAAAATTCAACATCTTTTCTTGTTTTAGTGTTGGCTAACAACAACAATCATTAGATGTTTCTAACCAATTTTTCGCGCTATTTTACTCTTTACATATAATCATAACAATTGTACTATTCATTTTATTTTTTTTTCTTTTGTGTAGATTACCATGATACTCCACGAGACTATGAGGTTATATCCGCCGGGAGTCATGCTTAATCGAATAACTACTGAAGATAGTAAACTTGGAAATTTGACTCTACCGGCCGGAGTGCAACTTATACTGCCAATCATTTTATTGCACCATGACAAAGAGATATGGGGCGACGACGCAAAGGAATTTAATCCAATGAGGTTTAGCGAAGGAGTTTCCCACGCGACGCAAGGCCAAATGGCGTATCTCCCATTTGGAGGCGGGGCTCGGATTTGCGTGGGGCTAAACTTTGCCATGGCTGAAGCAAAAATGGCGTTAGCTATGATTCTACAGCGTTACGCTTTCAAGCTTTCCGCGTCCTATTCCCATGCTCCTTTCACGGTGGTTACTCTTCAGCCTCAACACGGCGCGCATTTGATTCTTGAGAAGATAAAGGATTGAGATTTTTTTGTGTTAGAAAATGTATGATTAAATTTCTTTTTCATCTCTTATTTTTTATTTTTTATTTTATAACGTGGGAACCCGCAATTACTACCTTCAGGTGTGCTCTAGATAAACCTCGGTCGAACTTAACAGTCTGTATGATTATGTTTCTTTGATATGGTGTGGATTGTGTATTGAGAAATAAAGTGTGGAATTGTTTATTATTTCATATTTTGGTTGGAAATTCGAATTTACTATTTGCAAAATGTCTATATTTGAGTTATGAAATAGTATGTGTGTTTAAAATAAATTTCAAATAAAATCAAGATATTTTAAAAAATTATATTTTAAAAATTATGGACTCTTTCTACTTCCTTAAATTAGTCGTGCTTTCATATTGTTTTTTAGGTGTCACACCAAAGTTGTCCTTTTCGCTTTTGATTGTTTTTGTTATGAATTACTCTCTCCATCCCATATAACATGGGTGTATTACTATAGACACGATAATTTAGGTAAAGTATAATTAATAAGTAATTAAGAAGTGTATTAGTAAAAATAATTATAGATTAAAATTAAGATAAGTAAATAGTTTAATTAAAATTAAGAAATTATAAAATTTAAAATGTGATTAAACTACATAATTATATTTCCAAAAATAGAAATGACAAATTATGTGGGACTGACGAAAATAGAAAATAGGGACAAATTATATGGGACGAAGGGAGTATATGGCATTATGAAAGTAGGATAGGCAATAATGGTTTGTGTGTTTTTTACTCTCTCCGTCCTAGTAGTTAAGATGGACGTGTTATGGTATATACGAAAATTTAGGTAAAGTATAATTAGTAACTAATTAAGAAGTTTACTAGTAAAAATAATTATTATTTAGTAAAAACAATTATAGATTGAGATTAAAATAATTAAATAGTTTAATTAAAATTAAAAAAATTATAAATTTAAAAATTTAAAAAAAAATTAAATTGCATAATCAGTTTTTCAAAAAAAGAAAGGACAAATTACGTCGGAGAGACGAAAATAGAAAATAGGAATAAATTATGGGGGACGAAGGAAGGAAGTATTATTTTGTATGTTCTTTGATATGTGTATATATATATTATCTTGTATTTATTAAATCACATATTTAGAGAGTTTTTATGTCTTTAAAACAATTGTGATCACTATGATGATGTGCAAAATTCTGCACGGCGCTTAAACACACAATATAAACACATATATCGATGTCAAATGTGGCGGGTTAGTCCCGGATCGCCCTGGATCCGGTCTTAATGAGGCGGGTTCGGATCTAAAAAATTTAGTTCGGGGCGGGTTATGAATTTTATTAAAAACTTGTCCTTCCCCGGACCTGGACTCGGACCCCGATATTCTAATAATTATTATAATTTGTTTATATTTTTATACAATATAAATTATATTTTTTATTTGTTTAAAAAATTTTAAACATAAAATAGAACCTTAATTTTAAATCAAATTTGTTTTAACATTTGTTTCTTCTAAAATTCTATTTATAATTTGGACTACGGCTAACTGCCGACTATTGTCAATATTTGATTGTTCTCATTTTTAAAACTATATTTTTTTTTACTTTGCCGCATACTTTTTTTTAGTATTGTATTATTTTAAAAAATTATATTTTATTCTTTTCTTTTAAAAAAAAGAAGTTTGTCGGGTTGGCCAGGACGAATCTTGGGGCCGAGTTGAAACAGGGCGATACGGGTCTTGAGTTTTACTATTTTCTAGCAGGGTGGGTCTCGGGGCCTGCAAAACCCGTCCCAAACCCGCCCCGTTGACATCCCTACATATATCATACAATAGAAAGGGAAATATCACATGAAATAATATAATATAAACACAATAAAATACAATATGACACATACAACACATAAACGTTAACATAATTATGTGATATAATCTCATACGATAGATGATATAAGGATAAACAATACACAATTAATGTAATATAGACAATACATGAATTTTGTTAATATAATTTAAAGACAATACATAGTCGCAACACATAACATAATCTCACATAGCATATGTTACGATTAATTTCAACACAAAAAATATATCAATATGACACACTCATATATTTTTAATTAATGCTCCCTCCGTCTCACGTATTGTGTCAGTGTTAGTGTAGACACGAAAATTTAAGAGAAGTATATTTAGTAAATAATTAATAATGTATTAATAAAATTAATTAAAATATAATATAAATAATTATAAATTATTTTTAAGATAACTAATTAATTTTATAAAATTTAAAATAAAATTAAAATATATAATATTTTTTTAAAAAAAAATTGACATGATATGGACCGACAATAATAAAAAATATGTCATTATATATATAGGATAATCAGTTAGCATTGTATGTTTTTTTAGCAATATTTTCTCAAATGTTACTATTTGAATTCTTCATTTTTCAAAAAAAATATTTTTTTTTCTCAAAAACATCCCATTAAACATTATTTTCGTAAGAAACACAACCCAAAATTTTCACAATCTCATCAAATGATACACACCCTATAAGTATTCCACCTTAAAACATTCGAAAAAGCCAATCATAGTATTAAAACATATATATTACCGACGAAAGTGATTCACCACGTGTCACCTTTTGATTTTATTTTTTTTAATTTTTTGGAAAGTTATTCACCACGCGTCACCTTTTGATTTTATCTTTTTTCAATTTATTGGGAAGTGGGGCACACCACTTAATTGATTTATTTTTTTATTTTAAATTTTGTACATGGGTCCAACATCATGAATTGAACTATGATTACTTTATACATTAGGTTCAATTTATTGATTTAATTCAACCCCTTTCGATTTATTATTTTTAAATTTAATATGGTGTCCGTCTTTTGAATAAATATTTATTTAAATTTTTTTTTTTACACGAAATTTTATGTAATATTAATATTAATATATAATATGAATAAAATATAAACTATTAAAATAATCTTAGGTATATGTATAAATTTAGCGGACAATTAAAATAATTATAATATTTTAATATTAAAGTTAAGTACGTAAAAAAATAAAAATAAAGATACTATGAAAATTTTATCAAAATAATTTAATATTATATTTCTTCCTTCCAACTAATAAGTATATATTTATTCTTGACGATTTTAAAAAATAATAGTATTTTAATGATAATGGGGAATTAAAAGTAGTATAAACACAATTTTGCTATTATTTTTAAGTGTAAAAGTAATAATGTGATAGTAAAATAAGACTATTTGTAAAAAAAAGAATGAGGTACTTAATAAAATTATTACTTTGTAATTGGATAACACATAATATAAATATATATATATAAATAATCTCTGGCTAGACGGAGGGATTACTAAAAATTAATTTTATATTCAAAATACCCACATTTATATATATATATATGTGTAATCTCTGGCTAGAGGGAGGGATTAGTAGAAATTAATTTTATATTCAAAATATCACATGAATAGGAGAAGTGTGTTATTTTAAATAAACAATAAAAAAATAATTTGAAAATAAAACAAGTAAATATGATTTGACACTTTGTTTGGGGATTCTCCCCAAATACATTATTCATCCCATTTTTCCTCCAAAAATATCAAATCAAACACCTATTTTTTATTTTTTATATTATACTAAATATCAATTTTACATTCAAAATATTACATCAACACCTATTTACATCACTTTATACAACTATTCTGTTGATGTCGATTTTCAACAATAAAAAGTAAAATCCAAAAATAGAAATTATCTTCGAATTTGATAAAATAAATTGACTGAGATTTAAGAATCCCTAGACACCGTACGATACATAAATAAAATAGAAAAAATAAATACTACAGACTGTAAAAGTAAAATGGTGATCCCCAAAAGAAATTCACTGAATTTGATGTCGATTGAAGATGGTTTGTTTAGGTCATAAACATACCTATTTAAAACCTATGTCAATCGCCACAACCAGGCCGTGCCTTCATATCCGCTCGCCGGTTGTAACTTCTCTCAACTGTCTTAGAACTGCTTTTCGTCCGACCAGCACACCTGCTCCTAAACCCTAAACCCTAAACCCTAAACCCGTCTATCAGGCTTAAAATTCGATGCCCTGCTGCCGAGTCGATCAACATATCGGCTATGGGCATCACATACTCATCTTTAGAAGTAGCTAAATTGAGATATCTGAAGTCAATGCAGATCTGAATCTTTCCATTCTTCTTGGTTACAGGGACGATGTTGGCTAACCATTCTGCATATCGACAAGGTCGAATGAACCCTACTTTCAATAATTTCTCAATCTCTTAAACAATTCTGGGCTAACTCTTCTTGGTGGTTGCTTATATGGCTTGAACCCCTTCTTAATCGGCAACCTATGTTCTATTAAATCGTGCGCCAATCCGAGCATTTCCGATTAATCCCATGCCAAACATTCCATATGATCACGAATTACCGTCACCATTTATTCCTGCTACTTTTAGACAATAAACCACTAACCCTGACCATCTTGGGTATTTGTTCGGTTCCTACATTGTATTCAATGAGAGGATCCTGAGTTGACAAAGAAGTTTCTGTCTTTCTTAAGAGATCAGGCCAGCGAAAATCTTCTCCCTCATCAACATTATTGTTGGAACCTTCCCTACCATGTAGTCTAACCATTATTTGGTTTAAATAAAACTGTCTAATAAGCTCGTCACATTCACCTATTTCTTTCATAATTAAATCTTTAATAAATGTAAAGTTTTTTGGCTAACAACAGAGCCATAATAAAGAAGAATGTTTCTAATGAAACACATAACCTTGTGCAGTGAGCTTACAGCGCTTCCAGGGATATTCATCTACCACAGCTGTTTGTGAAATTGGAGGCACATACTCAAAGTAAAGTAAAGACTCTTCCACAATTTCTGTAGAACCGAACGGATTAGTGTTGACATCCATTCTGAACACTTGATCTCCTTCCCAAAACATGATCTGTTGATGGAGAAAAGAAGGCACGCATTTGGAAGCGTGAATCCAATCTCGCCCTAACAAGATCGAGTAAGTGGTGTTGGCATCTACCACAAAGAACACCGTAGAAATCACCTTCGGTCCGACTTCAATAGGGGCTACCATCATCCTTTCTGGTTTCGTTGGTTGCCCCGTGAAGCTTGTCATCTCGATATCTACTGGAGACAGATCTCCAATTCCTTTTCCCAATTTCCTCAAAGTC